CTTCTAGCCTCTGGAACTATTAGACAATACATTTCTGTGTGTTGTTTTTGGTTTTGTTTTTGTTTTTCTTTGAGTCAAGGTCTTGCTCTGATACTCAGGCTGGAGTGCAGTGGCATGGTCATGACTTACTGCAACTTTGACCTCCTGGGCTCAGCTGATCCTTCTGCTTCAGCTTCCTGAGTAGCTAGGACTACAGGCACATGCCACCACAGCTGGTTAACTGTTTGATTTTTTGTAGAGACGGGGTTGCACTATGTTGCCCAGTCTAGTCTTGAACTCCTGGGCTCAAGCGATCCTCCTGCTTTGGTCTCCCAAAGTGTTGAGTATAAAGTTTTTGGTACTTTGCTATAGCAGCTTTAGGAAACATTCATGCTGGGTGCAGTGGCTCAAGCTTGTAATCCCGGCACTTTGGGAGGCCAAGGCGAGAGGATTGCCTGAGTCCAGGGGTTTAAGACCAGCCTGGGCAACTTGGCAAGACCTCATCTCCACAATAAACCAAAAAATTAACTGGGCATGATGGCACGCACCTGTAGTTCCAGCTACTTGGAAGGCTGAGGTGGAAGGATGGTCTAAGCCAAGCAGGTTGAGGCTGAGATGGCCATGAGCATGCCACTGCACTCCAGCCTGGGTGACAGTGAGACTCTGACTCAAAAAAAGAAAAACAAAACATTAATAATTACTGTCTCAATTAATAGTTAATAATTGCCAGGCTCAGTGGCTCAGCCTGTAATCCCACACCTTTGGGAGGCTGAGGTGAGTGGATCGCCTGAGCCCGCGGGTTCGAGACCCACCTGGGCAACTTGGTGAGACCACACCTCTACAATAAATCAAAAAATTAGCTGGGTGTGGTAGTGCACACCTGTAATTCCAGCTACTTGGAAGGCTGAGGCAGAAGGATCGCCGGAGCCTAGCAGGTCGAGGCTGCGGTGGCCGGGAGCGGCCACTGCACTCCAGTCTGGGCGACAGAGTGAGACTCCAACTCAAAAAAAAAAAAAAAGTTAATAATTATAGACCCCATTTATTGAGCACTTCCTCTTTCCCCCAGCCCTATGCAACTATCAATCTACTTTTTGCTCCAAAAGATCTGTCTATTATGCACATTTCACATAAATAGAATCATACAATATTTGGCCTTTTGTGATTGGCTTCTCTCACTTATCATGTTTTAAAGAATCATCTATGTCATACCATGTATCAGTACTTTATTCCTTTTTATGGCCGAATAATATTCCATTTTACAGATACACCACACTTTATGTATCCATTCACCAGCTAATGAACATTTGAGTTGCTGACACTTTTTAGCTATTATGAGTAATGCTGCTGTGGACCTTCGTATACACATTTTTGTGTACATGCAAGTTTTCATTTCTTTTGGGTATATAAATAGGAGTGGAATTTCTGGGTCATATTTTATGACCCAGAACATACTATGTTTAACTTTTCGAGGAACTGCCAGACTTTCAAAAAATGGCTGCACCTTTTACATTTCCACCAGCAGTGTGTGAGGGTTCCAATTTCTCCACATTTTTGCCAACTTGATTACAGATATTCTAGTGATGTGAAATTCTCTCTCATCCTGGTGATTTGCATTTTAACGATGGCTAATAATGTTGAGCATCTTATGAGATTATAGCTGTTTGTATGTTCGAAGAAATGTCTATTCAGATATTTTGTTCATTTTAAAAATGAGGTTATCATAGGCCAGGCATTGTGGCCCACACCTGTAATCCCAGCACTTTGGGTGGCAGAGGTGAGAGGATTGCCTGAGCCCAAGGGTTTGAGACCAGCCTGGGCAACTTGGCAAGACCTTTTCTCTACAATAAATCAAAAAATCAGCTGGGCGTGGTGGCCTGTAGTTCTAGCTACTTAGAAGGGAGGCAGAAGGATCGCCTGAGCCCAGCAGGTCAAGGCTGAGGTGGCCAAACTTACTGTTTGACCATATCATATGCTTATTATAAGGGTAGGTGTGTGCATGTTTCTCCATTCTTAAGTGAGCTTGATGAGGAACTTAAGCATTCCACACAAGTGTGATGAGTATCAGCAGTTTGGGGAAATGAGAAAAATAATTGGGGACTTACACTAATAGCAAGAATAGAACAGGAAAGGTTGTGCTTTTGCTTCGCCTCACTGCTGTACCTCAAAGCTGTCTGTACTACTCCTCCCTCCACCCCGGCCCAAGTACCCTGAGCCCTCTCTTCAAACCATATGCCCCCAGCAGGGCACTTGCTTAGTTGGGAATACTTTGCCTGGAAGGCAGTTGTGGGTATATATGGGGCTGACTTCCTTCTCCATTTGCTGTGGTTCTGGTTAGAAAGTACAACAGATAAAAACATTCCAGCAGCATCCCCTAGATACCCTGGTAGTTGCTTTATAAATAGCTACTGCCATCTAGTGGACAAAAATGTAGGTTTAGAAAAACGTCCCAATCACCCCATTCCACCTTGTTTCCCAAAAAATGCCATTTTCCTTCCAAAATAGGGACCTCAATATTGAACGAAGGATTTACAGGCATTGCCACTTTTTAATATTACATTTTAAGTACATAAGTATTGTAGGGAATGTCACTGCTTTGACTCGAAAGGCAAAAATTAACCCACAGAAGTCTAATTACACAGTCAAGTAACAATTGAGAGCTATCATTATAAAAAATACACTTTAAAATGTAACTGGCAATGACATATTTACACCCAGCAGAAAGCACCACGTAACTCTTAGAAGCTGGACATGGAGATTGAAATGAATCTTCCCAGTGCTCCCCCACCATGCAGGGAAAAAAAAGGAACAAGCCGCCCGGGCTGACATTTCCTGTAACCCCTTAATAATTCTTGACAACGCCACCCTACATAAACTTATGCATGCACAGCCAGATCATCTATCCAATCGTCCTTCCCTTGTATGGTTGTGAGAATCAAGCAAGGTAAGAAAAGTGAGTGTCGTATATCAACTCTAAACTCAGTAAGTGGTATTCTCTCCCTATGGTCATCTTCTCTGCATCTTCCTCTATACTTTTCTTAATAAGCAGCTAACTTACAATATTTTCCAGGGGTTTTCCCAGTAATTCGTTTTGCACTGTCATTTTATAATTGCCTCCAATTCACCTTTCATACTTCAGTATTTCCTGCCACGCTACAGGCATTTATACAACTGGAACATTTTACCTATTAGCCAGCTTTTCTACTAGCCCACAGCAAGACCCAAAGAAAGCAAAAATTGTGATTCTCAATTCTCCAAATTACCTCTATTTGCAAAAAGCCTGTAAATGTGAGTACTTGTACCAAATCCAACGTGGACAGTGAACCCTAGCAATGAAGAATTATCAGATGACTGTTGGGACTTTTATTAAGCACACAATTGCAAGCACATACATGGTCCTGAGTTGAAACTTCATTCTTCACTACACTGCTGACAGTGAAGGCAAGCACCAGTCTAACATAACTTGAATGCCAGAGTTCCCTCTGCCAGTTATGTTGAGGTTACTCAACCTGAACCAGTTTAATCTATAAACACTTTCTGGTTCAGGTTTTGTGTCTCACAGGTGCAATAACATAGCTTCTACCATCTAGTTTTATGTCTCTATGATGAAAAAGTAATGACCTAGCATTAACCTGAAATTTCAAACTTGTAGAAACAGCAACCACTGACAACCTCACAGAGCCAAGTATTTTCATTACCCATAGCTCTTGTAATTTTGTTAACACCCCACTTGTGCTATTTAGTTTATCTTCTTTAGAGCTTGGGCCTCAAAGACAAAGTTTGCTCATGTTTACATTCTTACAGCCAAGTGCTTTGGATTTTTCTTGTAGTCGCAACTACAGAAGGTGTTAAGGTGGGGTAATGGCTTGTGCCAAGTCCTGCCTGGACAACATAGTGAAGACTACATACTGCTGTCATTACCAACTCCTCTCCCTCCTCCCAGGTAAAATTCTCAAGTCACCAAAAACACATGCACCCAGACCTGGGCATCCCAAGGATAATATTGTTCTCTGGCTACCCTTGGACAACTATGGGGAAACAAGTAACAGTACCCAAGTCTAACATCCCCTATGAGACCCCTAGATAGTATGTCATAATTATTCCCTCTAAAAGGAAAGCTGCAGCTCTTTCCTAAATGAGCCTTTTGGCTATACTCACTAAAATCAACTAAGTTAATACCGTAACAGATTTTGTTACTGAGTAACAGTGGTTGGGCTGTCAGCATAAGAGTACAACAGGTCAGGCAGTGACCACCCTGTAACCCCAGCACTTTGGAAGACCAGGGGCTTGAGACCATACTGGGCTGCTTGGCAAGACTGACTCTACAATATATCAAAAAATTTGCCAAATGTGGTGGCACATGCCTATAGTTCCAGCTACTAAAGATTGAGGAGGGAATGCCGGAGCCCAGAAGCAAGGATGCAGTAGCTACAAGCGTGCCACTGCATGCCAGCTTGGGCAGTGAGACTCAGCTAAAAAAATTTTTCCTGTCACAATCTGCTGCTTGGATCCAGACCACCAGGTGGCAGACTAGCACCATCAGGTCCCTGTGAATAAACTTGACAGCCTTAACTCAGCTTCCTTGCTTTAGAAAATAGCAGCCTAGTCCATAAAGCAACAAAACTCCCGAGTCAGTAAGAGTACCTTTGGCATGCAACCCAGTATCATTTGTTGCCCAAGATCCCCGATAATCCAATCCAGCTAACTAGAGCCACCTGGGCAAGTAAATCCTTGCTCCTAAGCAGGTTCACCTAAATAGAACATATTTAAGACCACTCTGAAATCAGCTTATGCCTTAACTTTGAGGGCAAGAGTTAGCTGTGATCCAGGTGAAACTGAATACATTACACCTTCCCTTTTAGAAATAACTGCAATCAAAATTAAGCAATCCATATTGTCACTACAGACTGCCAATGAGGAAAAAAAAAAATCCTACCCAGAGAACCTTTATACCTTACGTTACCCAAGTTTTCACTAATTCAATGAGCTGGGTCTGACCAGCTATCTAAAGACTCAGACAAATGTATGGTGCCAATTTTTAAATAGTTTTATTTAAGACATTGCATTTTCCACTTACAATACAGTGCTTATAAAGTGCAATGTTATTTCCTTCCCCTGTGCACATGTTCCATATTCAAGTATTAAGAATGCCCAGTAATTTACTATAGCAGCTCAACTTTAAAAACTGCCACAGAATTTGCTACTAATTTGGGTCTTCAACGTTAACTGTGTGGAACAATGCTACATCTACAGTTGGGCTGCCTTAATCAACCTCTTCGATAGTGGGCCCTGAGGAAGCACCACCAGAGGGAGGAGCTCCACCACCAGGGAATCCCCCAGGCATTCCTCCTGGCATGCCTCCTGCACTCTGGTACAGCTTGGTAATGATGGGATTGCAGACTTTCTCCAGTTCTTTCTGCTGGTGTTCAAATTCCTCCTTCTCTGCAGTCTGATTCTTGTCAAACCAGCTGATAATTTCATTACACTTGTCAAGAATCTTCTGTTTGTTCTCATCATTGATCTTGCCTTGAAGTTTCTCATCTTCAACAGTTGCCTTCATGTTAAAGGCATAGGATTCAAGTGAATTCTTGGATGACACTTTGTCCCTCTGCTTCTCATCTTCAGCTTTGTACTTTTCAGCCTCCTGGACCATACACTCAATGTCTTCCTTGCTCAAATGACCCTTGTCATTAGTGATAGTGATTTTATTCTCTTTTCCTGTACTCTTATCCACAGCAGAGATGTTGAGAATGACATTGGCATCAATATCAAAAGTGACTTCAATTTGAGGAACACCACGGGGGGCAGGAGGTATGCCTGTGAGTTCAAATTTCCCAAGCAGATTGTTATCCTTGGTCATGGCACGCTCACCCTCATAAACCTGAATAAGCACACCAGGCTGGTTGTCAGAGTAGGTAGTGAAAGTCTGTGTCTG